AGGTACGAAAGCACACAGGGAGGAGATAAATGGAATTGCTGGAAGGAGTCCAGGCAGCAGGACTGGAAGTGGGTCTTTAAAATACTGCAGCATGCTGTGGAGCATGGTCTTGACCGTGCTGTCCATCTGTGGTGGCTGCTGAGACGCTCTGCGTTGGGTCTGACTTGCCTCTGCTCACAAGGCACCTTGGATAACACGTTCTTCTTTCATAGCCACAAACCAGGGCTACTTTCTACAGTCCCAGCCCAGTTGTCCCTGTCCGTCCTGCCACTCGTTGGAGTGCACAGCCCTCCAGGCCTCCCTGTGAGTGAGTCTGTCTCTCCCTGTGGGCTCTAGGTGTGTGTAGAGCAGAGCTGCTTCCAGTCTGGTTTCTCTCTGGTTCTCTGGTGTTGGGCTAGTTTAGGGATTGAGGTCTCTCTATAAATGGCACAAAAACATGTAGCTGTGGGAAACTGTTGCCTGGAGAGCTGTCAGGTGTCTTGGTGCATGGTCGCTGGTGACAGGCACGGCGGGGAAGAGCAGTTTGGGTTGACCCCGGAGACAGGGCAGTCCCACAATTTCCCCAGCCAGTAGGTGCCTCCCAGCGTGTTTTTTCCCGTGCCTCTGCCACTAGGGAGCTTTGTTAACTGTGCTCGCTCTCTACAGCAGCGTATCCTGCAGCTACCCCGATCCTGAGGGCTGCCGCACCGCCCCGGCGCCTGCTGTCCAACATCAGCACCATGAGACAGGCATCCACCCAAGTGCCTCGCGTGCCCCCCCAGGCCCAGAGAGTGGGTGAGTGGAAGAAGGACCTGGCTTGGACTTGGCCATAGTGGATACGCGTTGGCAAGGGTGTTTGCTGCAAGCTCGTGTCCGCCTCCGAAGATGGATCAGTTTATGTGATCGTTCATGAAGGAGTCCAGATGGTGCCCTGTGTCGTGGGACTGGAGCAGAGTCTGTAGTAAATGTGTGCAACTTTGGGGGAAGGTTGTGGTCTTGCAGGTAATGGAACAGGTCTGTGATATGCCAACTGGTCTTGTTTGATGCTGCTCCTTGAGTGCATTCATTAAAGATGATGGTGTAGCTATGGTGGTCTAGATGGTGTTCAGACTAAGGCTGAGAGAAACAACCTGTGGAAAGACCTCCTGGACTAAAGTGAAGGCTCTTATTTGCTCTGGCTGAACAGCTGCCAAGGTTGTGCGACTCCAATAAAGCATGTTCATGTTAGGTGTTCGGGGCTATGGTCTGAAAAGCAGATCTTGCTGACGTCTCCCCAGTGCCTTGCTCTGGTGCAGCTGTCCCTGTGTGACCAAAGTGCCAAACTAGGAATGTCCCGTCCATCCTGCCAGCAGGACACGGCTGTGCTTTTCCCCTTTCTACCCTGTTACTTTTCTGCTGTTTGTGTTAGCTTGAGTGATGAGGAGGCTTACTGAGCCCCGTAGGCCCAGATCAGAGGATGTGTGCAAGTAGGTTGCTGCTCTTCCTGTCTCCTCTGCAGGCAGGATTTGAGGGGAGGCATAAGTAGTGCGAGGTGGAGGCTGCATGCATGGTGAGCAGGTAAAAGCCTGAGGTCCCCCGAAAGGTGGGACCATCTTTTTGGGGGGAGGGGGAGGAAGAACCTTACAGCTGTTCCATCTTTGTGCAATTTAGCCCAACTTTTCTTTTTGGCATCAAGCCTTTTATTGAAGCAAGCAGGGTGGGCACCAGAGAGGGTGTTCTGCCAGGTCCCCACAGCCGAGGGGCTGCTGGAGGGAGGGTGCCGGGGTTTTCCCCGATGACTTGGGCATTGTCTGGTTACAGACTGCGCTGCTGCTGCTCCCCTTGGGAGCTGGGTGGTTTTATTGCTGTGTTAAATTGAACGTTGCCTGTTGATGTCCTCAGTTGTTCCTTTTCTCCTTTTTTTCCCGTTTTTTTTTTCTTTTTTTCCTCTGACTTCACCTCCCCGCAAAAGGGAAGCAAGCCTGGGCTGGTGGCAGGGAGAACAGGAGCATTTGTTTGGCTGTTGCATCTCAGTCCTCCGTGGGGCACTGGCCTGTCCTTTGGCTTCTTAAGTAGATGGATGTTTCTCTAGGCGAGATGACAAGGCGTAGGTGTCTCCGCCAGCTCTCCCTCTACTCAAAGCCAAGCAACGCCAGGGTCCAGCGGGCAGGACAGTGTCCTGCTTGCCCTGATGGAGCAGCTTGTGGGCTGCTGTGGGCCCGAGAGGGGAGCTTTAGGCCATCTCGCTGAGCGCGTTGCCCTCGTGGCTTTGGCGTGTTAAGTCTTGGCGCAGATGTGTATTTAACTGGCCCTTCCTTACAAGCGTTCCCCTCTCCGTTGCAGCCAACATAGGGACCCAGACAGTCAGTGCTCGAGTACCCTCCTCGCCCACCCTGCCGCGGGGCGCGCAGCACTACAAGTACTCCTCGGCCGTGAGGAACGTCCAGCCGATGGGGAGCGTGGCGTCCGCGTCGGCTCAGCAGGTAACTGCTTCGCAGGCTTCGCCTTCGGTGCGGCGATCGCCAGGTGTGGCTGGCCCCGCTCGGGTGAGCGGGATAGATTTCGACCTCCGCCCCAGCCCTAGGGAGCCCCGTGGCTCTGTTCATCATCGGTGCCACGGGGACTTTCCCCGGGGGCTGCCTGCGTAGCTGGGCTGAAGCATCCAGGTCCTGCAGCTGTGTAACTGATGTTTGGCTCAGGTTTTCCTGAAAGCTGGAGTTTGGATACAAAAAGACAGCGACAGGGCCTGCATCAGCAGCTCTGAGAGGTGAAACGCCCCATTGCATTTGGGGCCCAGCGCTGTTCCTGCAGAGAGCTAGATGCTAGGGTAACGCAGCAGCTCTGTCCTGCCTGCCGTCTGGCTTTCTGCAACGGATCTCTGCAGCCCTTGTCACGCAGTAACCCCAGCGCATGCCAGCTAGCTTGCAGACTGTTCCCAGCCTTTCTGACTGCTGTTCTTTGTGGTTTTTATCCAGGTCGGAGAGCCTGCTGTGCATATTCAGGGGCAGGAGCCACTGACAGCGTCCATGCTTGCAGCAGCCCCTCCTCAGGAGCAGAAGCAAATGATAGGTGGGTGCTGCTGCTGCTCTGCTGGAGGGGGCCCTGGGGCAGCTCCAGCTGCCCAAGTGCAGCGCTGTGCGTGCCAGGCCTGTGGGATATGTAGACTTGCATGTACCAGGGAAAACTGAGCTGCTAAGAGAAGCTGTAAGCCTTCATAGGACTGCTCTGATATTGTACTGCTTTAAAAAAAAAAAAAAGGTCCAGGCTGGATAGGGAGGACTGGAGAAAGCCAAACAGCTCCCCAGCTGTATTAGCCACCTGGCAGTGAGAACAGCGCCTGCCAAGCTGTACAGCAGGGGCAGAGCTCTATCCTGCCGGTGCTGCCCGGTGACGTGAGAGTGTTGGAGACTCTCTGGAAACTCTGAGCCGTGCTGCATTGCTGCTGTCAGGAGCAGATGAACAGCTCGGTCAGGCAGGTGTGGGTCAGCTCAGCTGCCTGTGCCCGGCGGAGGCCTCTGCGGCAGCCCTTGGGCTCTGGGTGGTGGCTGCCTCGCTGCTGACAGCGCAGCTGGTGTCTGCGGCGCGGGAGCTGGAGCGTTTCTGTTGCTGCAGGGAGGTTTCCTTGCTCTCTGCCTGCCTTGGGCATTTGCCCAGGCAAAAAAATAGAGCAGGTCATGAACCAGTTCTTCTCCGCCTAGGAAGAAAGCACTCCTGCCAAAACAGGCCCCCTCGTGTGCATCCTGGCAGGCAGGCACAGGCTGCATTGGCCACTCGGCTCTGCCCCCTTCGAGGGTGGCCTGATGTCCCGTTCCCCAGCTCAGCGCAAGCTCTGCTCCCACGACAAACGCCTGCTGCTGTCTGCTTTCACCCAGCAGCATCTACCTCTGCAGATGCTCTCTGCACTGGGCAAGCTGAAACACCAGCCCCCTCTGCCCAGGAGAGGCCTGGGAGCAGAGTAGTTTTGGGGGGAAGGAGGCGGCATGTACTATGCTACAGCAGGGCATCTTGGCCCCATGCAAAGCTGCATGTGGTAGGGAACCCTGCAGTGATGCAACGCGTGTGCCAGAGGCTGGGATTGCCGGGAGGAGGGCAGCTTGCACAGCCCTTGCCTACTCCAAGCTGCTGCCTTTCCTCCTCCCCACCAGCTTCCTAGTATAAATGCTTTCTCATAAGCCTGAGCAGTAAGTAGGGCTACCTCTCCCACTTGCAAGGGGGTGAGTCAGTGGGACTGGTAGTTTTTTGCCTGGAGAGTGCTGCTGCAATGTGCTGGAGTAAGTTTGCTTGTGAGCAGTGGTTTTCCCCATCTGTGTCCCCCTTAAGGTGAAAGGGCAGAGCTGGAGCGCTGCTGGGAGGGCAGGAGGGCTTGCGTTGGGTTTGAGATTGCCGGACAGCACTTGCATAGCGCTTGCTGACATCCTTGCTGGTGTCTGGAGCAGGTGAGCGCCTCTACCCTCTGATCCACGCGATGCATGCCTCGCTGGCTGGCAAGATCACTGGGATGCTGCTGGAGATAGACAACTCTGAGTTGCTGCTTCTCCTGGAGTCCCCGGATTCCCTGCGCTCCAAGGTAGGAGGCACTCGGCACCTGAACTAATCACATCCCAAAGGACAAAGCGTATGCTGCTGTGAGCAGTAAACAAAATGATTTTTTTGGAGAGAAGATGGGCTGAGGATGTTCGTGTCCATAAAAGGACAGCTGCTTGCTCTTTCTAAAGCAAGAGATGAAGAGCAAAAATGAACCCCGCTTGACGGCCCCACATGCAAGGGTGCCATAAGGGTGCCCACCCTTCTCCAGCAAAAGGAGATGCTTGGAGCAGCCCTCTGAAAATTTGGGCCTAGCTCTTGAGAGTGGTTGGGAGGTGGGTAGGAATTGAGAGGGGAAGGGTGGGGTGAGCGTTGCTCCCTGGATTGAGATAGAGATGCTCTTCTTCCTGAGGAATAAGACAGGTGAATGCTGCCTCTCTGCAGCCCTTCTTCACTTTCCTCCCTCTTCCTGGGGAAGAGTTAGCTTCTGGTTCCCATCAAAACATTCACTGGGAATTGACTGCACGTTCTTGTTGCTGCTTGGAGGCAGGATTCACTTTTACCCTTTCGTTGTCACTCTTCAGAAGAGCCTGGGCTTTGCTGGGTGGTGTCAGGCAGCTTCATCTATTCAGCATTTGATTTCTTTCTGGCTGCTTCCTAGTCCTATAGAAAAAGGAGAAATGCCCTAGCGTTTCCTCAGAGAGGAAACAGAAAAGGTCTGTGGGCTGATTCTTCTCCTGGTAGAAGCAGCAGGCTTTGGTTTTAGCTGCTCCGAAAGATGTTTGTCGTAGCCCTGGCTTAGAGAGGCAGAACTCTGTAGACTTTGGCTTGGATGTTGGTTCCCCATGGTGATTACAGGAGTCCTGGCTTTGCTTTAAACTTCAATTGTGGGCAAATAGCTTCGGCACTAAGAGTGTGTGTGTGGCCCACAGGGGGAACCTGCAATATTGCGTTTCTTGTGCAGTGCACCCGTAATGTTGGAGCAGCTAAACTTTTTCCCCCAACTTGTGCTCTGTTTTGTAAGATCGAGGAAGCTGTCGCTGTTCTCCAAGCGCACCAGGCTACTGAGACATCCCACAAGAGCAGCACTGCAGCGTTCCTGCAGTGACCCGCCGGTAGGTGCGAGGAGCCGTACGGGAGCTGGCGCGTGCCGTGCGCTCAGGGGTGCGTGGTTGCTGATTCTGGGCTTCTTGTCCAGACCAACTAAGCCTTGAAGAGCAATATAAGTATTTTTGTCTGCAATATTCTCCTTAACCCATTTAATTCACCTTTTATTTTCCATGATTGTACTGCAGAGACACAGTTCTGCATGAATGCTTTTCCTATGTAGACAAGCTGTGAACCCAGGAAGGAAGACAGAAAAGGATATTGCTTTTCTGTAGGTCTAGTGAGGACTGACACAATTTCTTCTGGGATTTCCCAATGTTGTTGCAGAGTCTTGTCAGTCAGTGTCACTGTAAAGGTTGGAGCCCCTCTGTGGGATTGAACCCATCCTTCCAGCAGAAGTCAGCTCTCCTGATCAATGACAAGCAATTAAAACTCACGTGCCCCTCACATCCTCAAAGACAATGCGTTCCTGGCTTAACACACAGTTTCCTTGTGATCACAAATCAAGTGTGGAGCTGACTTCTGCCTGGGCTAGACTGTTACTCTAACAGTTGAAAATTGCATATGAGTGGTGGGGTTTTTTTGGTTTTTGTTTTTTGTTTCCTTTAGACTTAAGGACTGAGAAAGCCTTGAACACTGCCTTTGAAGACAAAACAGCAGCAACCTCACCATGTTTGTCGGAATGATGTCTGCACTGTTACCCTGGTTTGTCTTTGATGCCCTGTCCTATTTTTTTGCGTGCGCGTCATAAACCTTGCAGAATTGCTCCCTCCCTGCAGAAGAACTATGCCTGTATAAGAACTCCCAAGTTAATTCTCCTCTTGCCACTGAAAGCAGCCTGTGAAATACAATGTGGAACCCAGCCTGGTTCAGTTGTCCAGGAAATGACAAGTGCTGATGAGTCATCATTTTTAGTGAATGTATTGGGTTCTGTAGTTTTATTTGTTCCAGTAGCTGACACTAATAAAGAACTAATACTTCCACCCCTCAAGTGTATGGCTCAGTTTCCTTTGCAGAGAGACATATGCTTTGTCTCTGTTTCATGCAGGTGGAGAGAGGGGCTTATGTCAAGCTGCTGCCATGGTGGTGTCTGAAGCCTGTGATGGTGGCTGGGCTCCAGCCCTGAGAGCTGGCTAGGTGATAGGAAATGATATGTAGGTTTAAATGAACAAGTCACCAAACTAACAGGTTTTCTTAATTTCCTTTTAAAAGGCATCATCTTTGTGTGGTTTTCCTTTGGTAATAGACCTTTTATGCCTGCAGGAGTGTCAAGACTGAGTATCTGCTGGTCACCACACCGCATGTGTGGGGGCAGGGGGGATCTCTGGTGTGCAAGACCAGGTTTGAGTCTGATTCTGAGGTAGCTGTAAATCAGACGTTTCTCCCATGAGCGTTCCCTGACTAGTCACTTCATGAAGTCACTGATGGGCCTCAAACTTTAACTGCATCACATCCCACTGTGGTGCTCTCTGATTACAGGAGGTAGCTAAGATCTATTAATACTGTTTGCTCTCTTGGCCTCTCCCAGAGCCTGTCACTGTCATCACCCTGGCCTCAGTGCTATGCTCCTCCTATTTAGGAAAGGAATTTCAATCCCTAGAGGTTCACTGGCACTTGATATGTATTGACCTTATTTAACTGCTTCCTTTAACTTAGATCTCTAATGGCACAACCTACCTTCTTTCAACTTGTATACCAGTGTTGCTGTCTCTTTTGCTCTGCCTTCTGTGCTGTATCATACCCTCACTCCAACTCAGTCATCTCTCCTGCCTCTTGTTTTCCTTCCAGCACTTCTAACAGAAGCACACGTTTGTTCTTGAGTGTTTATGGTTTGCTCAACTGGGACACTTTCCCGGGGCTGTTCTTCATTCATCTTTTTTCTTGTCTTCATTCTGCCAACTCCTGCTCTGACCTTACAAAATATTTCCTTTCCTTGTAAAGGATGCCTCAGTCAGACTATGTGTTGGTTAGATATCTGCTTGCAAAGGTCTCAAACTAGTTAACTGGGAGCCAGACTAACTGCCTGGAAATTTCTATGCTTGGTCTCTGGAGGAAAAAAGTGTAAGTAATGCATCAGAAGAGCTAGGACATAATTGTACAGGCAAAGTCATTCTGCTGCTTCCTAGGGTGATCTGCAATGCTATGTTATTTTTCTCACCTGCCAGGTGTAACAGTCCAGTCTGGAGGTACCTGTGCCACTATATACAATGCTAGATGCCTTGGCTCAGGAAGACTGCTGTAAAGCTAGAAGGAGTTCAGAGCAAGGGCTAGGGATGACAGAGCAGGGGCTGGGGAAGACACAGCCACTGGAACGGCCTAAGAAAGGACATGGTCTGATACCAGGCTCTTATATAAGTAAAGGTGAAGTGAGCACTTGGATCACCATGGAGTGAGACAGAGTGGGCACTAGAAAGCTCTGGAGTAGCTCTGTTGTTTTAACTCCTCCTCAGGGTAGTCTGAGGTGTCAGCAAGTCCAAGCAGGAGCAGCAATGCAAATGTAAGCCTGGAGTGTCTAGTTTGGAATAGTTGCTGGGGATTTGGAAGGGACAGCTGAAGGTGCACTGCTGCAGTAAACACTCTACAACTGTCCCTGTGGAGAGCAATACCTTTACGTGTAGGAAGTGTCCTCCACAGACAGCAGTGCTATTACTGGAACAGAAGGGAAGATGTGACCTTCCCCCCCTCTCCCCCCCAAGCTTGTATTGCATCTTGTTGCTGTACTTAATACCAACAGGTAGATGCAATCACTTTTCCCTGGGGACAGGTTTAGAGATGAGACAGAAAAAAGCATTGCTATGCTTAAAGGGGGAAAAGATGTCATCACAAATTGTAACCAAACAATGTAGGTAGCGGCAGCCCTGATAAAGGCTAGCCTTTAACTGGCCTGTTGTTGACTAATTGAAGGCAGTCGATCTTCCTTCTGTATGCTGAGACCAATCTTTGCTTATCTGTGTACTACTGACCTGTTCTCCCCTACCCTGAAATTCTTTACACTTAGTTTGTTAGTATCTTGGGGTAATGCTGGTTGCAGGATTAATGGAGCTTACAGAAGTGTGAGTAGAATGAATGAAGCAATTTGTGTCCCTCTGGAAGGTGGTGTTTCAGGTCCTGGCACATCACAGAAGATGGAATACAGCCCTGGGATCTCCAAAAGCTACTTAGTGTCAGGGTAAAGTGACACTCATATAAAATAAGAATTATTTTAATGGCACTGGAGTGATGCCTCTTCTCTAAAGAGAGTAGCTGCCAGGAACATTGACTGCTAGGAAAAGTGGTAAGGTAGGAAATACAGATAGTCAAACCATGATGTGAGGGACAGAAGCTAGCCTATAGGTCTTACTGTAAGCAGTCAGTTCAGGTTGTGTTGTCCAGAAGCTTTAGTTGTGAGCTAAAGAACTTCCCTCTAATACTAGTTAAAGCACCATCTGTGCAGAGCATGCAAGGTTCAGAGATGGCTGGAGATCCTATTGTCACTGTCTGACAACTGGCTTTCAAGGAGGGGCACTATATAGCAGTGGTCTCAAACTCCTCTGAATCCTGACAAAGTGAGAACAGTATGAAGTGTTCCATCCAGTACAAAATGTAGCTGTAGAGTGAAAATAAACGTGACTTTAATGTAAACTGGTTTTAACAGTCCTTAGAATAAGTCTAAATATCTCTTAACCTACTGTTTTAAATCAGTGCCATCAATACCATATAAGGAGAAAAACCCAAACAGTATAAACATGCATGGAAGTAATAAGCCAGGCCTTAGGTGGGATGTTTCTGCATTCCCTCCTTTAACACCCTCAGCAGCAAGTGATCCAAAAGGCACAGACAAGCTCAAGTTTTGAAAAAGCTGAAAAAACCCCAAAGCAGCTAGAGTCTCAAAGAAAGCATACAGTGTAACAAGGCAAGTTTAACTTTTTGGGGTCTTTTAAGTGTGCAGGATAGTAAAAAAAATAAAGGCAAGCTGCTACTGCAAACTTCTGCCCAGTCCCACTAAGCAGCAGAAGCTCAGACGAGGGCCTGTAGGCATCAACTAGAAGGAACATGCTAGGTACTGTGCAAGTAACCTAGACTCTGTTTTAAGCATGGTGCAGTGCTATGGCAACTGCAGTTAGCGTTCCTGCAGCAGTTCTCCAGCTATCTTCTTTAAGTAATAGAAAGCAGCACAAATTCAGGAAAACTATAACTCCCGTTTCCCTCTGTCACCTGAATAAGGACTAACAACTTTGTAGCTCTTCAAAAAGAGAATAGCCACTTCACCCACATTCCAGCCAACATGGAAAGGGACCCTGAAGCCAATCTTTACAGGCAAGTTGACTTCAGGAGGAATTCCCTTCAGCCAGGGAAGTTAACCTTTTAATGCCTCTCAGAGAGGAGCATTAAAACTCTGAATAGTCTTAGACGGAAATAATCAAGTGTGATGTCAGGATGCACGGTCTGCATTCATTGTGCTGGCACAGAACCTGTTACATCTCAGCAGCAGAGGAAGATAGATTTCAGTACTGATCCTGCATTAAGATTGGTCCCTGTAACAATATCAGAAGGGAAGACTACTTCTGCAGTAGAAAACAAAGCTTTCTTTGTTGCTTGGTTGCTCTAAGCTCTGTTCAACTCTTGTAGTAGCCTCAGTGCAGCTGTGTTCTTTGGTTCAATTTTCAGCAAGCTGTTGATATCAGCAATACTTGACTTGTAATCCTGAAAGCAAAATAATTGGTAAGTGTTAGATATTGACAATATAGTCTAAGGCTGCTGCTGCAGCACTAGTATCTAGTGACAGAGGCAAAGGCAACACAACTGGGCTTGTGACTCCCTTCATAATTTGCTTAAGCACAGGCATCAATGTAGCTGTTCTAGAACATGCTTAAATTAGGGCTGAGAAGGCAGTTTCATCACTCGGAGGCAAGTTCCGAGTGCAACACTAATGCAGTCAGTCTTCTAATGCTACCTAAAGAATTTCTTACCAGACATTTCAAGATTCAAGTTCAACACAACACCTAGCTGCTTCCAGCACTTCAAGAAACAGGACCTGATGCTGAGAAACTCTGGAGACCCAAACAGCAAGTACTGACATGAAGAAAAATTCTCCCTCACTACATCCAGCCTTCCAGCTACCTGAGGGCAAATGTTGTCTAGCAGAGAGACAAGTTCTAAAGGGCATCTCTGGCCACAATTGTGGGTAAGATGTTGCTTTTACCACGTATGAACAGCGTTCTATTCCTAGTCTAAAACTGACTTACCTTCAGTTCTTTAAGTGCTTGAGCACGTCTGTAGAATGCCTTAATGTTATTAGGCTCTAATCTCAAGGCTTCTGTGCAGTCCTGTACGGCTTCCTTGTATCGCTTCAGAGTCAGGTAACACAGAGCTCTGCAACAGAGATACCTAGTTAAAAACTTTTGGCTCACAGCAGCACCCTACAATAACCTCTGCTTTGATTACAGTGCCTCAGACCCATCTTAAGGATTCATGTATAATCCCTACCCAGTCAGCACAAAAGCTAACAGCTGGGTTTTTTTTTTAGTTAGGGTTAAAAGCAGCATCTACTGCGGCAAAATATATGGTAGCTCTTAACCACCCCCCGGCACAGCACAAAGCTGGAACCAAACGTTCTTTATCCTAGAAATGATGTACTACAGGAATTTTGAAGCAAATGTTGAGCTCAAGAAGCAGTTAAAAAGGGAAAAAGGAAAGTCTTTCAGTCTGCAAAAAAATAGTTTAAGAATGTTTTAGAGTGACTGAGAGCCTGCACTTTAAGGATGCAATTTTCTAGCTGTACCAGCCCAGAATATGCTCTGCTTACTGCAATTGCTTTAAGTATGCCAGAAGAAGTACTTTGACTGTTTGAGCACAGCACTGCACGCCTTGTGGTTTTTGGGGCACAGACACTATTCAAAATAACAAAGTCCAGGCAGATATGCATTAAAGGGGGGGGGGGAGGGAAAACTCAGCAGCCCTAAGCTAAGCGTCTCCCAGCATTTTTTATGGCATCTGATCAAAGAGGAATGTTGATAAAAGCTAAAGGGAAGACTGCACTTGGAGGAACATGTGTTTTTCTTATTCATTTGTCTGGGAGCAGACATCAGACAGCTTTGTCAGGAGTACCACAATGGCTTTTATAAAGGGCCAAGAAGTACTTAGGCAAAGAACTGTCCAAGTAATACCTGTTGGTGTAAGTTGCACATTCCTTTTTGAGCTTTAAACTCTCACTGTACTTCTCAATTGCTTTTTTATGGTTTCCTTTCTTCACAAGTTCATTTCCTTCTTCCTTCAGAGTTCGAGCTCTCTCAGTGCCAGCAGCAGTCTGGTCTGGAAACAACGTGAAAGAACACAACACACTATAAAACTGGTAAGAGCTGAGCAGCCTCTCAGAAAGCAAATATCGCTATACCAGAATTGAGGCACAGAGAGACCAAAGGATCCAGAATCAACCAAAAAGGCTGTGGCAGAACCAGGAAACAAGTCCAGGTTTCTCCAGGCCTCAACCACAGCTGTAGACATGCCAAGCAGGTATGGCAGCTACCTTGTTCTTCATCACCTCTCTCTGTGCTCCAGGGCTGTGTGCACAGCCCAAGTAACACGCTCTCACCTGGTTTTCCCAGAGGTGCAGTTTCACAAGGAGTGGTCGGGCCTCCTGCAGAAGGAACATTCCATCTCGTCTGGGCAGAAATGGGGACTGCGGGGATCGGAGGGAGCTTCTCACGCCAATTCACACCATCCTTCTCCAGCAGGACTTTGGTCATTCTGGAAGAGACAGCTAGGCAATTACTGTGTCTGTTGGCAGAATGGGCCATGCAGTGGCCAGTGGGGAAGCCCAGCTTTTTAACCTGCCTCATGTATTGAGGACTGCATCTCTCCACTAACCCCTTTGCATACATCTAAACTAATCTTTTGTCAATGAGATATTAATACAAGGAGCTTCTCTGCCTCAGTGAGGCCAAAAATATCCTAGGATAAGGGCTGGGACGGTCAGAGCTCAGTTGAGCAGAAGAGAGACTTTTGTGTCATTTCTCAGACAAACAGCAGAGCGAAGCAGACAGCTCCAGGAAAAGAAAATGGCCTTGACAGCCCATCAGCCCTGCCTGCATAGGGAGGCCTGATGAATAGGATACTGGTGCTTATAGTTCAGTTTAAATAGGCATTGGTAAAAGCCAAAACAGTTAGAGGGAATTCATTCCCAGCCCTAAACAATGGCCCAGGAGCTTGAAAGGAACTAAGTACAATAAGGACATTAGCACCTATCACCACAAGCAGGAAGTGCGACCAAGCCTGAACTTTGCACAAAGCATCAAAGGCTTCAGTTATTTTATTAGGGTGCTCAGGACCCTGCTTGCTGCTGACATAGCTGCTTCCGTGAGTCTCCCTGTTTTGCAGTGAACTAAACTGCTATATTCTCAAGGCCTTCTTCCAGAGCGTACAGTATAGTATTTGGCATTACCTGTTGACACCATCGTGTGCAGACTGTATGGAGCAGTCGATCTGTAGCACAGTCTTGTAGTCAACATAGGCCAGCTGATACCTCTCCAGAGCCTCGTAAGCTGCTGCCCGCCTGAGGAGGGGTTTGATTCCAAAAGGGACCAGTTCAAGGGCACTGTGCCAGAGGGGAGAAAGCAAAACAGGCCTATGAGCCACTCAAAAAACTGCATTCAGAGAGGCAGCTTTGGAAAGTCGGGTATCCTCACACGGGAACTACAGACCTTGTCTTATGAACCACATTTTCACAGGCCCAGTCTTGCAAGTACAGAACAGTGAGGTGTCAGAATCTTTGTTTTCATTTCAAATGATACTGGACTGCAGGAACTGATCCTGAAGCAGTGAACTTTTTCTGTCCTGTCTCATTTCCAACATTAATATAATTACTGGTGACAGAGGAAAAAAAACCGAATTCCCTCCTCCTGTAGAGCAATCATAAATGAAGGTCTGCTTTGGGGGCTATTCTTAAAAACTTAACCTGCATATCACAGATGAGTGGTGTTTATCCTGCTCCACACCAGCTAATAGCTGCTCTTCTGTAGGACCAGGTTGTTCATGCTGTTACGAGCTGCTTATTACAGACAGACATGCATATCCATTCTGAGGAATAAAGACTTACACGTCCCCAGTGAAGTCACTGGTAGGGCTGCACAAGAATCTCCCTCAAATTAACTCCAGAGAGCTGTTAAGATTTTAAGTCAGCAATCTCATCTTCATCACTAGCAAATACTGGCATTTATCCTCAAGGGTAGCCATATCCAGTTCCTGCTTTCAGCACAAGACTATAAATTATGAGCAGCATAAGCTGTTCCAAGTTCTGCTGTCCTTCTCATAACCTATCTCAGGCCTGGTATTCTCTGAAGAGCAAGTCATACAGTTAATTATACAGTGCCATTTTCTAATGCGAGTTCCTTGTTATAGATCTGTTTTGGAAAGAGTCATTGGAAACAACAGGCAACCTGAGCCACCTGGTGCTACTCCCATGAAACTCCAAGCCAGGTCTGGCACTTGGCTGCACTCACCAAGTCACTCCAGATTTACAGCAGAGGTGCTGCAGACACAATCAGCCCCTGCTCACTTGTGCTACCAGGACGAAAACAGAGAGACCAATGAATGCTAAAGCTACCTATGAGAAGAGGGTCCGTTGACGCCTCTCAATGGGGAACATATCTTTTCCTATCCTTTCTTGCTCAAGGGCTAGCAAGTCCCGAGGACTGCTCCGATCAACAGCAGAAAGCCAGGACACGGCCACATGGCCACTGCTACTTGTGGAGGGTGAGCAAGGGGAGGACAGATGGGGCAGCCCCGCCACCTGCTCCGCTCCCCCTAGCCCCTGGCCCTGGCCTTACTTGGGGTAGGGGTAAGGGAGGAGAACGCAGTCAGGCCCTGGGCAGCAGGGCCCCCCTAACCCCTCCAGCTTCCCTCTCTGCCCCATTGCAGCC